ATATTCTCTCTCTCTCTCTCTGTATATACAGATATTTATATGTAGATACCACAAAAACAACTGCTTTTTTCAAAAGCATATCTTGATGAGAAAACTGCATTCCTCAGCTGGCCATCAGCACATGATGGTCATCAGGGCTCTGAAGGGGCCAGCCAGTTGATCAGGTAAGGACTTACTTACATTAGGTATTAGTCAATGATGACACTCAGAATGAAGAAGGAAAGCCATGGCATGTAAACGACTGCTTCCTTGAACTCCCATCCTCTGTGTTCTCTAACCAACAATGGATCTATTATGGTTTCTCATCTACTTAATTTTTCAGGACTGTAAATACTGAAAAATAAGTTTATTTTCCTTTGTAAATTTAAAAGAAAAAAACTTAGGGTATGGACAGATATGTTCTTACCTCTTCTGGCTGAAGTGATGCTGGACAAGTCAGCATCTCTGCACAGGTTCCCCCTTGAGACCTGAGCCAGCTGCAAACCAAAGTTCATCAGCACAGAGAAGTGATCTCATTGCACAGTAGGACAGTGACTAGCAACGAGCATGTGATGCTGCCATAAGGTGAAGAATAACAGGTGGGTAAGATGCTTGCAGAACACTGGAGATTCCCAGGGAAGCTGAGAGGAGGCAGTATTCACCTTTCCTGAATCTCTCTGAAAATACTTCCATGTGGATCACTCTGCTCCTTGCTTATTTTGTTTCATGCCCTGGATTGAAAGACTTTTAGTCTGGTTTCAATCAAGCCCAGCTTATTCCCCGTTTAATAAAGTGTTTACTGGATAACACATGCCGAAATATCCTTTGTCGGGAAAGTTCACAGACATCCTCTCAGATGTCTACATCTCTTTGCCATCCCGCTGTGAGGCACAGACAGGTGAGGGACAGCCCAACTTTGCTAACGATTCTCTGTCTCTAGTCTAAGAGATAAGCACACACTGCAGGCATTGGTATTTCTCACACCCGTGCATGTAATTTCTATTCAGGGAAGTTGTTTTCTTCCCAGGTTGGCAGTCTAGTAAAACAAAGCAGCCAGCATGGAGGGTGTCAGAATGGAGAGAAAACACAGCAGTGTTTTAGAAGCTGTTTAATATTTTAAGCTATAAATGCAGGAGGACTGTGATGATGTTTGAAAAGATAACGCTCAGATGCATAGTTAAAAATGCTGTAATCTTTTCAAGTGTTTCAGCAGAAAGACCCTGTGTGTCAACGCATGGGAAGACATGGGTTCAGCACTGAATTAACTGAAGCAAGAAGTTAGAGGGTAGGGTGAGGAATTACAGCAGGTGATCCAGGAAAAGGAGCATGACAGATCTAATGCTGGAAAGAGAAGGAGAGAGACTTCTCTCAGGGCAGCATTCACCCCATCCCAGCTCCCACCTTGCACTGTGCTGCATAAGAGTGATGCATTTATGAAGAATCACAAGTTACATGGGCCAGAGGTCATCTGCTACTGCTTTGTCCCAAGTTTCCCTGGAATATAGTTTTCCACTACCATCTGTCATTTGCTGGATTTTTACATCTGTCTTCCCCTAAAAGTTACTCTCTCAAAGCACCCTGACATAAGGATCAATGAAAGCTGTGGACTGGGGTCTTTAGGAGCTTGAAAACTATTTTCCCCTCATTTAAAGCCACATCTTTTCCTTTCCTTGTTTTCTGCTGGCTTACTCCTCCTGAAGTAAGCATGAAGGCTTAGTTAACTATCTAAATGTAAAAGCACTGGTTAATCTACAATCATTTTCATTGTCAACTTAGTGTGATGATTTTCTTTTCTCTTAGCTTTGTACAAGGAGCCTTGGCACAACACTGACTCTTAACATTGAAACTCCCTTTGCCACTCTAAATGGGGTTACTCTCTTGCAGCCTTTTAGTTCTCCTTCATAAGCCTCCTAACCTTTGATGGGGCAGAAGAAAGGACGTTTGCATGAGAGCCATCTGTCAGGGTCTATAGAAACCCCAGACTCATATGGGCCTTAGAGACTGCTCCAGCCTTGAAGGCTTCACTCAGCAGTACAACAAACACAGATGGTTTCCCTCTTGGACCTGGGACAAACGTGCTGCCTTACAGGACATGGCAATGATTTTCCTCAAGTAAGCCTTCTGTTTAAAATCATGAGCTATCTGTATGTTTATGTCTGTGATAAATGCAACTTATGCCCCTTTATGTGTATTCTTTTATATATAAGGGAAAATGTAAATATTTATGGCAAGTTTTCTGAAAAGCTAGATGTGCTGAGTGCAGTTTTCAATCTACTGCACTGCACTTTTAACCTCCACAGCTTAAAAGGAAACCAGCAAAGACAAGTGTTGACTGTACCTCAACCAATCTGTTTGATAAAAAACAACACTGAACATTGATCTATCAATTGGACTGATCTGGCTGCAAAGTAACTTATTTAATCAACCATAGTCTGTTTTATACCTGTGACTAAATGAATAAATTGGTCCTTACAAGATACAATTCCTTAATTTTCCATGTATAAATTCTCCGTGTACAAATTTACTTAATATGGTTAATACTACCCCACGTATAAATTTCCTTATTTTATAAATGTATTTAATTCTCCATGTATAAATTTACTTTGGGCATGCACATGCTTGCAGTGGCTTAGGAGTTAGCACAAACCTGTACCAAACTTTATGTACCGTGCATTACACTTTCACACAGAAATAAGCAGCACAGGCTCAAACTGAGTTTAAGCACAATAGGATAGTGTGAGCCCTGAGTTAGCTCCTCTGCAGAGAGTGTTATCTCGGATGTAACCACATGTTACTGCATAGAGAAGTCACTTGAGGCTGGATCATTAACAGTTTTCAGATGCCTAAGACCTGTTAAAACGAGATCACCCTTCACCTGTACCTTCTCAGGGATTCTTATTTCATCTGAAAATAGTGCCAGGGGTGGAAAGTCAAATCTGAACTTAACCATAATGTAAGCAGTTGAATACAAAACCCCAAAGAATCACAGTGGAACATCTCCTTTGAATTGAGAGAATGGAGAGATCTCCTTTTGAATGGAGATCAAACAAATACCTTTGATTGTATGCTAGTTTTTTCACAGCCTTTTGCAGTAGATATGGAATATGCAGAGGTGACAACTACATCATTTTTATGACAATGGACCTCCTGGTGCTGATGACACACTCACCCTCATTTTCCTTTGGCATGGGAACATGCTGTGATATGACTTACCTGATGGTACCTTGTTCCTCTCCCTTGCAGCACAGCCTCACCTCCTTCCCAGAAGACATCCTTGCATTTGCAGGCAGCTTCAGCAGCTCTGCTCCACACCCATGCCTGGTAGACAGCCTTCTTTGTGTATTAGGCATCTTTTCCAGACCATAATGATTATGAAAAAGACACTGTTATTAACAAGGACCAGCATAGAAATCCACCATGTAGAACTATTTTATTCATGGTGGAGAGGAGACCTGAAAGCCAGAAAGCTCAGGCATTTTAAATGCCCCATGGCATCTGATATTTACCAGCCTTAGTGCTCTACTTGGAGTAATTCCCCTCACATCCTGAAAGTGGGATTTTTATTTAATGTAAGACTTCTAAGCAGGCAAACAACCCGCCATGTGTTATGAATCAAGACCAATAATAGTTTTGTTCTAGCAGAATGTCCTCAAAACCAACCCTACAAACCCATCATACTAGCCATTTGTCAAACTTGTTTATGCTGGTATGAGCACAGCACCAGTAATCTGTAAGGAACAGTCTTTTATCTGGCCACCCCTTCTATAAATCCAGTATTTTAACTGGTTCATAATGGACTGCTATTGTCATGAATGAGATCTGGTTTTGGTCTTCCAATTTGTACAGATTCAAAGTGAGTTCACTGTGAGCAAAATTACAGCTGGAAAAGGATCTTTACTAACCACCGCAGTGATGAAAAGCCAGCTGTGTTTGCTTTGCAAAACCCAGTGCAGACCTACTATTGACCAGCAAGCATAATATCAAGGGGCATCATGCATCTTTCAAGAAACCACTCTTATGCTGTGTGCTGGAAAGCTTCAGTAAGCCAAATATTCGGTATAGAAAAGGAAAGTTCTAACAGGAAGAAAATATCAAAGGCAGGCCAAATTCTCACTGGCCTTTGGACATTTCAAATTTGACCCTTGAATTGCAAACCAAGCCAGAAACAAACACAAAAATAACAAATGCACAGGTCAGTAATGGCTACACATACATAGATATATGCACATATGTACGTATGTGTCTGTGTATACATGTGTTTGTGTATTTGTTTTCTATTAGATTGTCTCATCCTTTGCCATCTGTCAAAGCTGCATCTTCTGTCTTCTAAAGCACTAGCCTGGAAACTTTTAGACACGTGCTTATCTTTAATTACATGAGTAGTTCCCCAAGTGCTGATGGGAATACTCGCATATGAGGGAAGAGGGTTAAAGTGCAGATTTATTACAGACTCAGACTGTTTTCCAGGCTGTGTTTGTGAAACAACTGAACAGGAAGGATTAAAAAGCTGGCAGGAGTCCCAGCCCTCTTACAAGCAGGACAACAACTGTAAACACGTAAAAGATCAGATATGGGAGTAAATCCTCCATCATACTAGTGATGCTGCAGCCGCTATGAAAAGACTGGGATAAATCTAAAGTGTTTCATGGCATCGTGTGGTGCCACTCAAGAGGTGACTAAGGTTGGATGTGTGATCCTGCTGTGAGTGATAGGCCACTTTCCTCATGGGTAAAGCTATCCTGTAATATTCCCAAAGCATCCTTGGGATCCAGTGACTAGAGCAGGAAATGATTTTCTTATCCTCAGGGAATTTTTCCAGTGCTATAAATGACTGAATGACTTCTTCAGTCAGGACAATGAAAACATAAAAAGGCAATCTTGAGCTGAGTTTCAAGTTATAATTTCTGATTTGAGCATTTTGCTTCATGAGCTTATTTTTCAGTGATCTCATTCTGACTTTTCTGCGTTCATAGGAAAATCAGACGTAACTTGTGCTTCTAAGTAAAAAGCATCCCAGTGTAAAAATAGAGGGTGTTTTACCTAAAATTCACTGCAACAGAGAGGTCTTGACAATGTTGAAAGTAAAATCAGTCACATGGAAACAATTTTTTCCATGAGCGGTTTGGGGATTGTGTGGTTTTGAGGTTTTGAGGTTTTTTTTTTGTCAGTCAGAAATCTTAATCTTGCCCAGAAGTTCTTCACGTACTTTGGTCAGGAGCCTATGCTCCATTTTTTCAGGAGCCATACAAGCATTTATGAGCTTGCTTTTAAAACTGGGTCTCTGAGACACCTAAACACACACAACTTACCCTCAGCGAGGTGAGGAATGTGCTTGTCTCTCCCAGGCATGGATGGGGAAAGCTCACGGTCCTTCCTTTAGAGCATTTAAAAGCATGCTTGGTGCTTTGTGGAACCACACCTGAAACACACGGGATCTGAGAGTGCTGCACGTTCTGCAGGGCTGGCCATTAGCAGCATCTCCCTTTGGGCTTTCTGTACAATGTATTATTTATGAAAGAAACCTTGACTAATTTAAAGCACGCTGGTGCTGTTGAACTGCAGTTGCTGATGGGGGAAGAGAAGGAGGAGGTAACTACAGATGTGAGCTCTCACAGGTTTTAATGGTGTTTTAATAAAAGGGCACCGACAAAGGCATCTTTGTTGCAGATGAATACTGAGAGAGGGGCAGCTCACAGTCCCGCCACTGAGTAAATCATGTCTCCCGGAGCTTTTCCAACGTCAGGCGTGTTTGCATATGTTTTCCCTCATTTGAAATAACAGCTCCATCCAAAGGCACGGGCTAAAATAGGAGAGACTGGTCTCTGCTGGCAAACAAGCGGCAGCCACAGCAGGCTCCGTAAATACCGCGCCTGTGTAACTGGTTGTGGCCAGGTGTATACACAAACACGGCAGTCATCGCTGAACCCCGGCGCTGGAGACGGTGTCCATCACTTTTAGTGCTTGTGGTGCTGCTCCCAGACACATGTCCTGCCTCCTTGCTCCACTTTTATCCTCGCCTCTCCCCTGGGTGCCAGACAGCACCAGCCTCTCTCCCTCCCCTTGCCATTTTCTTCTCGCCTCCTGCCACGGCTGCCGCAGCTTGCCTTTTGCCTCTGTGCGCCAGAGCTCCGGCAGCCTCCCCTGCCTCTCTGGAGCAGAAGAGATGCCCTCCTCGCCTTGAGGGGCTGCCGGTGTCCCCGCTCCATCGGCCTCAGCACAGGCGGCAGGGGCGGTGATGCGGCCGCCCCGCGGAGGAGGCCTGAGCGCGGCGTTGCCATAGCGACTCCGCACCACGCTCCCTAGATAAGGCGGGCGGCAGAGGCCGCGGCGGCCCCAGCCCGGAGAGGTCCCGCTGCAACCAGCCCCGACGGCTCACCGCGCCGTAAGTACCGCACCCGCACCCTGCCCTCCATGGGCCCTCCTCTTGTCTCTTCCTTTGTTTCCAGCACTAGCTAGGAAAAGTCGCCCCTTCTGTGGGGAGCGGGCTGGGGATGGTCCCATGTGGAGAAAGTTGGGGTGCGGCCGAGCTGAGAGTGGAAAGCATGGGTGGTGGGTTACAAAGAGGACAGTGCTTTAGAGAGAAGTGCTTTAACTAACTTTAACTGCTCAGACAGCTTGCAAGCAGCAGAGTGGGAACTGGCATCAGGGCTTCTTACCCCACTAGAGACGGTTGGAATAGGTGAGTTTGTAAGGAAATAATTACTGCTGGTTTTATTACCTTCAAACACTAAAACTTTGTGACTAGAACCTCTGCAGATATATCATACTGTTTTGTTTGTTTGTTTGTTTCTGTATCAATCAAAGTTTAACTGTTGGGATTTTCATTTTTGCGAGTTGATGGGAAGCAGTGTGAGATGGTCCCAACCAGGGTTTTGAACTAGCCCGTAGAAGCTGTGAGAGGAAACTACTCCCAGACAATTCTGCTATCAGCAGCAAAAAGTTTTGGGTGGAGGGAGGTGCCTGGATTAGGCTTTCAAATACCAAAGTGTTTCCGAAGTGCATTTAAATACTTTTAAATAAATAGAACTCAGACTAATCTGACAAGAATACTTCGAGAGAGCAGCCCAGTGCCCAAATAACTGAAGAAGCTCTGTGCAGCAGCATGAGGCTGTCTTCTGTGCCCAGGGAAGAAGTCACTCCAATAGAGTAATGTTAATCATATAGTAAAAGTGAAAAGTTTGGAATGCTGAGCAGGAACGCCCAGACTTTCTACTTTTAGGGCATCTATTTTCTACTCTGGGTATAGTTTTCTACTCTGAGATGGGTTGTCTTGCTTTATTCACAAGATTTGCACAGGAACCAGTGGTAATGGGGTTAGGATAGGACCAATGTATAGGCAAAGGTGTGCATTTGCCGGTAAAGGAGCCAAGGCTGCCTGCTGAGTGCAGATGGAAGGAGCTAAATCCAGATGATAGTCTCTTATTCCTTCTTTGTAAATGACTTCATGCAAATAAGGGCCTACTCACACTACGGGACCCCGCAGAGAACATGCGACAGAAGGAAGGACAGGTCTTGTCTTTCCCTGCCATGTAGGGAGGGAAGAGAAGAACGGGTAAGGATGCTGAAAGCCTGCCTGTCCCTCCTTGCTCACGTGCTCATTGTAACCAGACAGAGAGGGGCAAAGCAGTTAAGAGTTGTTTAATAATTAAAACATGTCAGGAGACCATAAGTGTGCGTGTGGTTGGAGGAGAGGCACCAGGCTTAAAGGGCAAATCTGATGCCTGAGCAGCATTTTGGGCAGGGTAGTGAAGTGCTGCCCTTGGTGCAGGCTGGACTAACTTTTACAGTCCAACCTCTGCCTCATGTCTGCATGAGGCAGCACGCTGTAAGATATTCCCACTTGTTCCGTTTCCAACTGTCAAGTGCATCAGCGGCACCAAGGCCAGGTGCCGCCTATGGGAATATGGACAAGCATGTGCATGTGCTGTCCCACCCTAGGGCACCAGTTGTCTCCATTTCGGTTCTTGAACTTTCCTTCTCTCATCTCATGGCAAAGAAGTGTTCATATGCAGTGCTCTGTGTCCATGAGAAGACAGGCACACAGGCTTCTGTGGCAACTTCATTATCAACCTACCAAAAAAAATACCTATTAGATTCAGATTGCCTGCTGTCACCCAACAAGGACACTCTCAAGAGTACTTTTATTCCTGTAGCACCCTTATCAACACGCCAATGGTTTCTTTAATGGTTATGCATGTCCTGCAAACTAGTGCATGTTTTTTTTTTTACTGGGGATTTGCTCAATTGTGGGAACAAAACATTCCCCTGGGGGGAAGGGATGGGGAGAGAAAAATCAAAATCCACATACTTGCAGACAACAGTTTGTGGAGACCTTGCAAAGGGTTAGTGCAGCAATTCTAAGAATTCAACACACAAGAAAATGACATGCAGGTATAAAAACTCATGCCCTTGATATACAATGTGAGGACTATTGATGCTGATGCTCACGTAGCCCGTGTCAACTTTGATATGAATTGCAGATCAGGAATTCTTTTCTGCATCTTCTAGGTTAGAATGATTGCCTACTGATGTCTCATTTGAGTTCTGCATTGTCTCTTAAGACTGGATACAAATTGCCATAGGTACCTAATTTCCCTCTAGCTGCATAGCACCTACAGCCACTCAAATCCTATGAGAAGTCAAGAAATGGAGAGTTAACTTTCCCATACCCAAAGCCATTTCCATGCCTAGTTCAAGATCAAATGAAAAAAAAGTCCAGCTCTTTAGCTTGATACTCAAAGCTTTAGTTTTCTGTTCGATCTCATGAGATTTCATTTCACATTGGTTTAAATGTCATAGGATCAGATGGCTTCAAAAAAATGCATCATTTTGGTAGAAGCATGTGATAGTAGCTTTGCTGAGCATTCCCTAAGCTCTTTCCTAATTACTGGTGACAAATATCTACATTAACACAGCCGCATATACTAATCTGAAATAATAAACCAAAATTGGTTTCCTGGAACCAGTTACATTGGTGACTTTTTGATGGAGACTCACAATTTAAGCAAAAAAGGATACCCTATTATTTGCATTTATAGTGTTTTAAGACAGTGTTCGTGAGTGGTAGGAGCTGTACATCTGTCTCTGGATAACTTTATTTGGGCACTTTAATCAAGCATATACAGCAACTGAGAACTCTGAAAAAAAATCTTGAATGTGCTTTAAGCTACCTAGGAATCCAAAGCAGACATCTAAAAAGTGAAAAGGTCAGATATTTGTCATCTAAATCACCATCTCTTACAAGTGTGTATGCCCAAAGGAGTCCTGTTGCTACACGCCAGGGCTTCAGCCTGAGACCTTATCCACATGAGGATGAAGAGGCTTTTACCCATACCTGCATTTTTCAGGCTGCCTTATCATTCCTTGCTCTTCTCCGACCCTAAGTAGAGAAAATCTTATTGAATGCCAAATGTTTTTACAAGGAGCAAATGTAAAACTGTGTAGGCAAAGCTAGAACTTGTCTCAAACAACAGATTGCTCAAAGAAGTGGTAAATGCCCTATCCCTGGCAGTGTTCAAGGCCAGGTTGGACAGAGCCTTGGGCAACATGGTCCAGTGTGATGCCCATGGCTGGGGGTTGGAACTGAACGATCTTAAGGTACTTTCCAACCCTAACTATTCTATGATTCAACCTTTAGGGAAGCATTTCAGGTGTTTATCAGCTCTGCCTTTTCCCAGAAATAGGCACACATGTCTGCAGGGGGTGGTATAGCCTAGCTGCCTTGCTCCAAAGTCCAGGCTAAATGAGTGATGAGTCCTAACTCATACAGAAAAATCTATATGCATTTCAGGAAGTGTCTCCCACTGACTGTGATTTAGAGCTCCATTATAACCATTACAATTGAACAGCAGACGAATGTGGATCATTATGTCAAGAGATATAAGAATGCAAGAAAAATCCCACCTTAGTCCATCCTGTGAATAGTAAACACTACCCACCAAAGCGACTGATGGCAGCAGAGAGCACAAACCATGTGTGAAGGCTGCTAGGATAAGTTTCATTTAACACACAGAAACCTGAGAAAGTGCTTCCATTTGTAAAGGTGTATGAATGATTTCATACAGTCCCCCCTCATCTTCCTTCCCATGTGAAAGATTACTGGGGAATCTGTTTCTTTAGTGGTGGGAATTGATTTCAGTGGTTTGGGAAAGCACCATTACAGAGCTCACATACATCACCTCTCCCCAGAACGAGCACTTTGTGTGTAATGTGCAGTGACAGGATGCAACAGCACTCACAGGTTCACACGTCATATGCAGTGGGTAGACACCCAAGATATCAAAAATCATGACACATCTTGGTAATCTTTCTCTTTTTATTCTTTTGTCACACAGACTGTCACTATGTGCAGTGGGAAAACACTTGTAAGCAAAGCAAAGTTGGCTGCAGGCAAACTTTAAATAACAAAAAGGGTGCATGTGTCAGGAGTTAGGCTATACAGCCATATTTTAAAGCACTGAAGGTGCCAAGGGCTTGGCATCTGTGGCTATGGAAATGTGAGGACATCTAAGAGATTTATTTAGAATATAGTTTTTCCAAAGGAGTATAGTAAGAAAAAATAACTAAGGAAGTCTCACAGCTGGCATATACCAATCCTAAATTAAGACTCTTTACAAAGCTTTATTTTTATTAGGTGAAATAACTCAGGGAAACACTTCAGTGAAATCAAACCAAAATAAATCGTATTTTATAAGGCATTTCCAGTCAGTATAATTTACCACCAATCTTACATTTAAATTTTACAATCTAGTCTCAGCCTTTTTTGCCTCAAGACCTGTTCAAAACAAGTCCATGGTGTCTGAAATGGTATCCCTGATTTTACTGAAAACTGTCTAAAATGAGTACCCTTCAGGAAAGAACGATTTTTCCTACTATGATAATATTTAGCCAGTGTGGCCTAATCAAATCCTATAAAATCAAATGGTATTGAGGAAGAAAACCTCCCTTATCACAAAATGCAGTGTGAGCCTTCATATGGCCAGCACATAAGTTTGTTTTTTTGCTTTAAATAAAACTGACTGCTTCATCTTAAGCATTTCATTTCATTAGCTATAGCTAATTTATACAGTGGATAAACAGAGCAGACATGCTATGCTAAGGTGCATTGAAAGGTTTCTTTGTACAGGGTCTTCCCAAGTGGAAGATGATTAATTTTTTTCCCATAAATGCAGATGGAGTCTCCAGGCAGTGTAATCCTTTAGTACAGATGGGGGGCTGGACAGGGGCAGTTCTACAGTGAACAGGCAGAGGTCAAACCCCTTATCCAGGCCTGATTCCACAAGGTATTCCAGAATTATATAGAATTTTACAGTTTTTGGATACTGAAGGGTATGGGAGTTAATCCCATACATACATTATGAGTCAGTGTTCCTGACCTTTATTGCTGTCAGCCAGTGTCGCTCCGCTTATTTTGAAGCCACTGGAATTTAGGACATGTTTTTTCATCCCCTGAAGAATTAGCTCAGTGAGTGATTATGAGTGCGACCTTTCACAGTTTGTTTGGAAAACATTTAAGTGACTGGAATTTGCTTGAGGATTAATTGTTCTTTGTATAGATGTAAGTTTAGTCATAGAAATGAGGTTGACTCCCCTACTGTTCTGTTTCTTGTTGACAAACAACCACTGCAATTTACAGAGAAGTAATACAGGTGTTTTGTTTACCTCCAGCAGGATAAAAGCAAACTCTCTATCATGGTTTAAGCCCAGATGACAACTCAGCCACGCAGTCCACTCACTCACTCCCCCCCCTCCTTTCTTCCCCCACCCTGATCCCAGAGGGATGGAGAGGAGAATCAAAAGAATGTAACTGCCACAGGTTGAGATCAGAACAGTCCAGTAACTAAGGTATAACACAAATCACTGCTGCTACCACCAATAATAATAATGATAAGGGAAATAACAAGGGAATAGAATACAGCTGCTCACCGCCTGCCGACCAACACCCAGCCTGACCAGAGCAGTGATCTCGCCTTTCCAGGTAACTGCCCCCAGTTTACGTACTGGGCATGATGTGCTGTGGTATGGAATACCTCTTTGGTCAGTTTGGGTCAGGTGTCCTGTCTCTGCTTCCTCCTGGCTTCCCCTCCCGGCAGAGCACGAGACTCAGAATGTTCTTGGTCAAACTAAACATTACTGAGCAGCAGCTGAAAACATCAGGGTTATCATCACCGTTCCCAGACTGAAAAGTCAAAACCACAGCACTGCACCAGCTACTGAGAAAGAGAAAAATGACTGCTACTGCTGAACTCAGGACAGTACTCCTGTTTTTTCTCTTCCTCATTGCCTTCCTCCTCCCTACACGTAAGCCATGGTCTGCCATTATTCCCTGAAAATGGAGAACAGAGATTGTAAGTAAGAAGCTGCCCCAGCTGTTGCTGGCAGAAGGCCATACCAGGATCACTCAGGCTGCACCTCCAGGTTGAAGGTTTCTTTTCTTTTAACATTGCTGTAATGTGTTTCTGTTAAGCAACCATAGAAATGGTCAACAGTAAAAAATGGTCTCATTTCCTTCTTCCTGTGAAGACATCTAGGGTGGCCTCAGAGTGAGCAAGTCTGGGATCAAGTCTTAGCTTGGGAAATGCTGGAGGAGCTCAGGTAGGAGGCTGGGCTCCAGGATCCTCTGCAATTGTGAGAAAAGGGGAATAAAACAGCCAAAACAGCAATTCAGTGGGACTTACAGAGAACAGGCTCTTAAACAGCTTTGTGAAACAGGCTCCTGTGATCTTATCCAAGGTGATTAGTAAGTGTACTTCATGCTGGCTTTGGGGTCCATATGTACTGGCCATCTTTCAGAGGCAGCACTCACATGTGGGTATTCAGGGGTATCAAAGCTCTGTTAGAGGAGCTGGGCTTGTAAGAGTAACTCAACAGTATTCATCATTAAGGCAAGATTGTATGATAAACACCAAATATGATCCTTAGTATAGAGTTGGGAAAAAATGGGAAAAAAACAGAACAAAACACCCTATTTCCTAGCATATACTTTGTGTATGAGATAGATAGATAGATAGATAGTGCTTTCTGTATACTCAAAGTCAGTATTCTTCTATAAAGCCAATGTATTTCCCATGCTAGTGTGGGTTGCTTACAGCAAGGTAGGTGGAAAAACAGGATATTGCATGTGTAACCAAGGCAAAGGCAGTGAATAAATGTATCATCTCTTTTCACATGTGAGCCAGCAGACTGCATGACAGAGAGCAGCTGGAAGACAAGAACTTCTCATGATCTGGCTAGCAAGTGGATACATAACACCAATATGTCTGATTTATGTCAGGGTGCAATTTCTTTTCCTTTTCTCCTGGTGTAGTAGCTTCAAAGGGGAAGAAAAGCCCGTTTCAACGATGTCAACAGAATGTGTTCAGCCATTTGATATCCCAGAAGACAGACTGGACAAGCGAGACTCACACTGTAACCATTTAGGTAAGTGTTATTAGATGATGTCATTGCATTAATTAGAGAGGTGTTGTCTTCACATCATTAGGCCCTGCCCAGTGTCCATTTTTCCCCTCCAGCAACAAAACTGAGCCCTCATGAAACCTGATAGATTGCACCTTCTGCTGACACTTCTGGTGCCAGATGGAAAGGCAAAGAGAGCCCTTCCTGCATATAAAAATCAGCTGAAGCTGGAGAGCAAAGTTAATTAAAGAGGAGAAAGAAGAAAAGAGTCATTGTTCTTTCCCCTGGTAAAAAAAGGTAGAGAAATTTCTCCATTTATACCACTGTAAACTAAAAGCTGGGATACGGCTGAGCCTTCCCTGAGCATATTTTATAGGTGCAATCTCAATAAAAGATTTCAGACACCCCCTCCCTTTGCTTCCACTGAGTCTGCTTTCTGAATACTTTTTCCCCTTCATTGTCAATGTTTCCTCTCTTGAACCTATTTCATACATAACTTTTGCACTGAGAGCACCAGAGGCATCGTTTCTCTGCCACACTCCTAAATACCAAGCTTCATACTCGATAGATGTGCTTTTTTGCGTATTCATGGTCTTTTGCCTCTGCTTCAGATTCTGTTACTTCACTCCTGCCTTGCAATATTGTCATGAAGATTTAGCAACCCAGAAACAAAAACCTATTTTCTTGTTGTTACCCTTGTGATGACAATAACGAAACACAAATGCAATTTCACTTCCTTGTCAAAAGAAGTGTCTCACCGCAGGCAAGCACAATCTTATAAACTTTGTTTATCTGGCCTGCAAGGAAGGTATCCTAGTTCTGCCTCTGCCACATGGCATTCCTAGCTAAAGGCACTACTTATACAATTGCTGGTATACCACATATAATTGTTCTCATTCTACAGTTAGGAAACTGAGGCAGCAGGAGGTGAAATGATCTCATTAAGACTATGCGAAAAGTCTGTGGGTGCCAGAAAAAGACCCCACATCTTCCTGGGGCTTCACCCTGGAGGTTATCCTTTCCATGTGTATACCCACTTACAGCTGTACACTGCCTCAAATAGTGTGAGAGAGCCTGGAATGAAGACCCAGCTGAAGCCAAACAAGCAGCTTTTTAAGAAACCAAAGCATTGGTTTGTGTGATGATTCCAATCATGGAATCACTTAGCTTGGAAAAGACCTTTGCAATCATTGTGTCCAACCATACACTTAATACTGCCAAGTCCACCACTGAACCGTGCCCTAACTGCCACATTTACAGGTCTTTTAAATACCTCCAGGGATGGTGACTCAACCACTGCCCTGGGCAGCCTGTTGACAGGCTATCATCTTCAATATTTTTGGCTTGCATTAGCACCCAGAAATGCAGATTCTTGCAAAAAAAAACGTCTGGGTCAAGGGAAAACCAAAAATCCAGTGTAATGTTATGTAAATCAAAACTGAATACCAACTGCTCTGGAAATAAAGCCAAATCTTGAGGGGAACAATATACTGCCTCGGCTTACCGATACCTCAGGCTGACCACACACACGTAAATCTTTCCTTCACAAAAGTGCCCTTGTAACTCTTGAAGACACAGCCTGCACAGTTAGTGTGGGATGAAAACAGGGATGGCTGTGGGACCCCTGCACACCATGGTACAGCTTTCCTTCTGCCACGTAACACACAGCTGCCCACAGTCTCTTCCTCTGCTTTATGTCTACCACCTACAAAGCAGAAGGACCACCTAAGTCACTTGACTCCCCTATAGTATGGCACATAGGCCTCTTGTGCTGATGTTTTATTAATGAGATGTTCCTCCACAGGCATTATAATTTACTTGGATGAAGGCAGTATTATTAAAGCTTTTCTTTTTACCATCTGGTTTGTTATTTCTACTCAGTTTCATGGCTTTTTACATCTTTTTTTCTTTTTGTTTTTTCCTCTGCAGAAGATCTTTCAGAGCAGCTGATTCAGAGCTGTGACCTCAAAAAGAAACCAAGAAAAGGGAAAACCATCCTGGCTTCCCAAAACACTGAACAGGACCAAAAAAAGCCAAGGAGAAAAGATACACCCGCTTTGCACACCCCACCACCTCTAACAGGTGAACAGTACGTCCCTTGATTTAGGAATCACAATTCAGCTGAGGGGATTGAGTCCAGGCAAATGTCTGCAGACCCCTCATTCACTTGTCCCCTGGATGTGGGCAAGAATGCAGCTCAATGCCATGTGCATAGTGGTGCTGCCTGTATATGACAAATGATGTGTATTTGTCTGTAGCTGCTGAGCCATGCTACTTCAAAATCAAAAAGGATTTAGTTCAGCCCTTGTGTGTTCTGTGAAACATGTACCCAGTGCTCAGAGGGAGGCTGACCAGGGATGAGGGTGGGATGAGACCTGAGGAGCACACAAGCCAGCTGCAGGATGCTCCTCCTAGAAATAACAGGGCTCTTGTGCTCATGGGGACTCTGTCAAGGGCCGGGTGTTTCAGGAAGCCAGAAACCACTGCAGCAACAAAAGGGCTCCTTGTAGGATGCTCCCTGCTGCTGTGCATTTACAGACCTCTGAAGTTTGAGAGCCAAATGCCACCAACCTGGAGAAGGGAAGAATGAGCAGGAGACTGCCACTGAAACTTGATGACCTTCTAAGTCAGCAGTTGGAATAAACATTTGTCGCTCCTCTCTGCTGACAATCACTCCTTGTGCTCTCTGGGGAGAGAGCTGTGCTCTTGTATCCACTGCATTGAGTTCTACCCGTATTGCACATACACAGAGGAGTTAGCCAGTAGCTACTTGCATGGTCCCCTGAGTACCAACAACAAATCACCAAGAACAAGAAGCTGGGATTTGCCAGTATTTGTAATCCAGACATTGACTCTATTCAGCTCTCATCTATATCATCTCCCCAACAATTTCCTCTTAGGGAAGAGTGGTTCAGAGGCTAGAGAGCTGCATTTTGTGCCTGTAGTAGCCATACCACAAGGCATTATTTCACTGGTTAAAACAGGCCATTTCTGTCTCGTTACATTGCTCCCAAGCAAAGGCTTTAAGCATCCATATGATTGAGCTACTTTGGTGAGATGTTTAAGCTTCTGGAATCGAAGATTGCCCTCATCTTTACCACGATTTCTGATGGGCTGCAGTTTAGTGCATTAAGTACAACCAGAAGCCAGCTGGCCTGATAGCATCACTGTCATTAGCCTGTGGGATAAAATTGACTTGGAGGAAATGGATACCATTGCAAAACCTGAAGAGTAGGTACACCATGCAGAGCAGATCATGCACTCGGCCACCTTATTTCAGAGTAGTCTTTGGGAAAGTTGCACAAGTGCCTATTTTCTCCGATGTGAGCAAGGCTTAAGTGACATTTTCTTTTTTGTTGCGGTTTTTTTCCTTGCCTACAGGCATACTTTCAGACTTTTCTGATAGTTTGCTGAAAAGGTATGGTATCACAGAGAAGCCACAACGAGAGAGAGTGAATCCAGGCTCTCAGATCGCTGAACTGGAGCAGAAAAAGCCCAGGAGAAAAGATACGCCTGCAATACACATCCCACCTTTGATTATAGGTAAGAGAATATTTATGTCAAGGTCCTCCAAAGAGGAAGCAAACAGTGGGTAGTGCCAGAGGTGTGTTTGGGAGGAGGCTGGAAGGAGGTTGCTAGGCCTAGTGTACTTCGCACTTCCTGCTGAGCTGGACCTATTTGGTCAATGTATATAATAGCAGTGGTGGCTCATGGAAAGTCTTTTTTGTTCATGCCCCGGGGATAGAAGGGAAGGGGAGTAAGAGAAGACGTTAGGTCACTTGATTACCTGCAGACACAATGCTACTTTTGTGAAAGGCCAACAACCGCCCTGCTTTTCAAACCTGATCACATGCAAATTTTTAGGTCAGCAGCACTAACAGTGGCTCATGCTGCCTTAAATAACCTGGAGCAAAGGTGTCCTGATTAACCTTCTCTTAATTCCACAGTCCCTGGCTGCACTTAGGAAACCAAACTGTGATGAACTTCTCGTTAACAGCACCTTAAAGACAGCTCTGTGCTTCTGGCATAACACAGTGCAGCACCTAATTTGCTTGGTGACCACATGAAGTCAGCCAGCCATGTTTTGGTCCTTAAGACCCTTTGTCACATTTCCCACACTCCTCTATCACGGAAGAGCCTCAGTTCATCAATCCTTCTGAAGGGGTAGATGTTAATTATTAATACTAGCTAGGGATGCAGCTTTCAGTTGTTTTCAACCATACCTCCAATGACTCTTGCCTGCTGGTGAACCCATCCTCCAGCACTCAGCATGGATTCAAAGCAGCCTGCTAAACACTGCCTCTCCTTGTCCAAAACTTTTCCAGATCCAGTATTCTGGGGTTGTGTCCTAGTGACTGACTACCTCTGACAGGCTTGTGCCCATAATGGGGCAAAGTAGCCTGTGTGTTTGAATGCCTGAATTTCACTCCCTCCCTGCTCTGAGGATGCATGTTTTCATTTCAAGATGCATACCGCCATACAGTGTTCTGCTGGTTGAAATTTGCCAGTGGTGGTTCCATGACTTGCTATGAAAAAGTGACTCATTGTGGCTAAGGACTGCTCCAATATTTACTACTTGTTTACTCTCAGGGTTATCCCATCAGGTAGCAGACAGAGCACAAACAAACAGAGCTCTCTTGTGAAACTGCTGTGCAAAATAGAACCTGAATTACAGACTCGGAGACCTGAGAAGCCCCAACAGGGCTATGTGTGCTAACTAGATGTAGACAGGCCTTTCTGTCCCTGTTTCCCTGTTACTGGCCTTGTTTGCACATGTGCTGCATGTATCCCTTGTGACCTGCTAATAAGGATTGTCCCCATTTCTGCCATTTCTCCTTCAGATCCCTCCCAAATGCCACTTTCAGATGACAATTCAAAAACTACATTTAATTGTTTGAAGTAACAGAGCTTAATTACTAGATTATCTTTTTAAGCAGCTGTCCACACAAACAGCTTTGTTGTAAATGTAGCTAAGAATGGCAGCTGTGTTACCTTTCTCCCTTTTGACCAGCTGGTTAGGAGCACTCTAGGACAGTCCCTCACCCTCTTGGGTGCTCAGAGAGATTTTTTACCACAAATAAAAGTAAGTCAAATAGCCCATAAAATGTGATATAAATCAATGTATCTACTAGATGCCACGTGATCCAAGAGAGTAGAATCAGTTTTACACCTTGCAAATACCCAATCTAAATAGGAGTTGCAGGTACAGAAAGGAGGCTGCTAAATTAGGATCTTAAGGTCCTTTCCAACCCTAACTGTTCTATGATCTGAATGTTACTATCTGGAGAAATCCATGGCTACCTGTTGTCCACAGAAGGAGCCTAAGGAAGTCAGTCCTTAGCCAGCTTAAATGTCTAAGGATGGGCATCACAAAACTCTCCCCTAGAAGGATCAGACTTCTAAATGTACATAACCTTCAAACTCCTACTGAAGTAGCATGTTGTTCCATGTGTATAAAAATGAGCCATACGCAGAAGTCTTCTCCAATGGCCAGCTCCCCTTTGGTCAGCCAAGACCTTGTCTTTCTGAAGGGATTAGACCAGAAGACAAAATACAACCCCCATGCTAATGGTGTTTTTTTCAATCTCACATGACAGCAAATGATTTGAATCTGATCCAAGGCCTGTACTCAGCTCTGGGATGCTCAGTTACACATCCGCACTTAGCAATATATTCAATTAGCTGAAGCATTTCTGAGAGCTCTTCAGGCCTGTGGGTTTGAGCAAGAATGTAAATACATGTGTAAATATGGGAACGTGGTTCCTGAAATATGGCTGCTTGAGGTTTCTTAATCAGATCAGAGATAACTCGTAAAACCACAGTTTCAAACCCTTGCTCTTCCTCATGCCCTAGAAAACCAGTTAAGGTTGTCTCTTTAGGATAATATCATCCTCCCCCCTAAAACTCCGAGCGATACAGGGGAAACACAGCAGTGTAATGCCCCCTCTTGCCTTTCTCCTGTGCAAGTGATGTGTCTGGAGCACACCAATACTCTCCCAACCCAGCTGCAGGTGCTGTCTGCAGGTAGTCAAGTGGAAATGGTGCAGTCTTGGTGGGTTTCTGATTTTATAACCCAGGAGGAGTGGCTTAGATCCAGGTGGCACCTGGCAAATGGATGATTTAAGCCAATTTCTTCTACTGCCTGGGGTTGAGCTTTGTAACAGAAGCTCTCATGTCTCTGTGAGCCTTTGAGGTCCTAGTCCCTAGCTAAAAATTGCAAGGGGTTGCAAGTTCTGTTGGGAAAACATGACTACATTGCATTTCTACTGTGCTTTCTGAAGTCAGATCACTTGGCAGACACTAACAGAACCACCTAGCAATCCTTAAAACAGATCTGCAGGATGAGCTGGATTTCATAATACACACAGCTGGGAAAACGGGCACAGGGGTTAGGTGATTTACTTGAACAGTAATCAGAGAAATACTGACTTACAAGCATTCCCTAAATCCAGCATCCTGCTCCTTTAAGGATTCAGTAAAGCACACTTTCTCCAGAAGTGATCAGTGGCATTGTATCAAAGGAAAAAAATCCTTTCCCAAAAATAACTCTAGTTTCAACATCACGTTTGCATCTCCTTTGCACTGTTTTGCATTAAAAGGCTGATTTTAAAGGCATGTCGTTGTCCTTGAAGTTACTGGTGGGCTGGAAAGTTAATAACCTGCAGCTCTAGGCTACATCCTCCTCTGAGCTTTGAATCCTGAGCTCTACTGGAAACTTTTGGAGTTCATCAGTCACCAAAGTGATTTATTGGTAATGATGCATTATCTTGCTATTGATTGTGGTAAGTGTCTGGCATGCTACTGATGTGGGTCCAGCTGAGAGCTGGGGACCTCTGCTTGGCGGCTACCTTGCAGCTGTCTCTAGCATCTGCTCTACAAGGGCTGGTTTATGTGCTATAACCATCAGAATTACATAAACATACTTTTCCTTCCTCACTTCATAATTTAAATGAGAGTGTACATGATCACAAGGCACAGCGCAACTTTATTTAACTTACATTCCTGATCCCTTATTCCTGACTTTACCCCCAAAACAGGTAAGCTCTCATCAAATGATCACTGTAGCTTAGATTTTAAGCATATTTGAGTTATGTTTTCCTCATTCCTCAAATGTTCTGTGAAGAAAACAGCCACAAAAAAAACCCCACTCCCCTCTAAAAACACACTACCCAACCTCCAAAGACAACAGTGGAAAAAAGAGGTGTCTGTATTTGCCTATGTGAATAGAAGTCTGGGTGGGGAACATTCACATCCATCCCATAAAACAGCGTATTCTTTGCAGTTAACAATGCTGTTTTCTCAACTGTTGCTTGAAAAAATGAAGTCTTTTGTGTTTCAAAATAGTATTCATTCATGCCTTTCAGTCTATCTCATGGTTTTGCTGAAACCAGCTGGTTCACAAGAACTGCATGTAAATGAAGCAGGAGCTAACTTAAATGAAAGGCAGTATAAGTTAATACTTCCATTAACTCATAAGCTCTTGACAAGCCTCCAAAGTTGAAGAAAATCTTCCTGTGTGGTATTGCTCTATTTTCAGACCTCATCAAGACTGAAAGCCTTCTCTGTGAGAGGGCTTTTGATGCAGAAAGAAGCAAAACAGGTTGGTTTGACAGAACAACTCAGCTGGTTAGCACAGACTGAGAGCAAACAGTAGGAGACCAAATTAGGGTGAGATTTTGTTGGTCTAGACACAATGGTAACCCTCATCCTGTTTTTAGACTATGTTAACCTCCACACCAAGGAATGTAGGCATAAAATCTTGTTTTTTACTGGCAACAGGCAAAACCAACACAATATGCTAAAATAGGGATCAAGAACATTTTCTAGTTAATATATTGTTCTCTCTTCACTCTATTAATTTAATCTCTAATGAAGAGAGCAGTTACAATAATTGTGGTATCTTGGTATCACATAAAACCTTCAGAATCCTTAAGGGGTGGACTTACTGCCTTTATGGAAGAGAGAGATATAGAAGGGAGAGAGAGAGATTTGTGGAAGGTATAACCCAGAACCTCAGTCCTTTTTCACATTGATCTTAATTCGGTTGCTTTTGCAATTTATTGGTAATATGTAACTTCAGTGGGGATGGCACTTGGCATGTGGGTATTCTGACACTTGGCTCATTTGGCAAGATCTAAGTAATAATGCTATGTACCTACAGAAAACATACACACATTCTCATAAGCTGACTCAGTCACAAAGATCAATCACAGTATTTATTCCATCATGTAAGCTCTTTTTTAGCTTCCCACACCCCTTTGACAAACAGGTTCCCAGATGAAACTTAGTGTCTCTTTCCACAGGTAGCAGGAGTAACTCCCATGATGTTGGGAAACTATATTAGCATCAAGAAATTAGAGAGGACTGAAAAATTCTTATCTGGATATTTTCTAAAGAAGCAATATTTTAAATCAACTACTTTTTTCTCTCTCTTTCCTCTGTCTTCTTTTTGTTTGTTTTGTTTTCCATGTCCTTCTGTTTTTAAGGCACTAAGCTGCTTACGGAAGAAAAGCAAACAGTGATTATGGAAGATGAAGAAAAAGATGGAGACGCAATCCCCAGTTAAGATTACAGTGATATTTCCAGTAACGCAGTGTAAATAATTCTGGGTCATTCAAAGTGGCAGTACATAGAAAGTAAAAAAAAAAAAGGCCTTTCATTTTTATAGATAATAATTCTCTCAAGCATGCACTTGAATTTAAATTATCTTCAAGTGCTTATCTGCATCTCATGGAATCCCAGCAAGCATCATAGGAAATGATGGCAGAAATTTCACTCACACATGGAAGGATTCACTCAGTTTGCTAAAAGTGGCTTCCCAGGATTTTTGTCACTGAGGAATCCACCTCGGATCAGAACGAGCTTTGTGCATGGTGATAAGGGTTAATACAAAGGGACACCACCAGTCAAGTGTACCTGGCACTAGATACCAGAGCAGTTGGTAGCACAGAGCAATAAAACATCAGCAAGTGATTCAGATAGTATTTTTCTCCTGATAAGTTCACCTTGTTTGTCCAGCTTTCCTCTGCTGGAATATCGTTGACCACAGTGAAAATTCGCACATGCAGAGCTGATGGGATAGATGGAGAGGAATCAATGCTAGAATCCCTGAAAGGCAAAGCACACACTTCTTCTGCCAGTACCTGCTTGTGACTTGTGTTTGTGAGGAGAAAAGAGAAGATTTACCATAGAATGAAAACTCAACAGCTAAGGGCTGTCAGCACTGGCACATCAAACAGGACAGAGGGCAGAGCTCTCAGAAGAGAAACATGGAACGTGCAGTGCCTGCCTCTGTTACACCAGTGTAGACCATTGTGGGTTTTTTTCCTCTCAAAGGTTTTATTCCGGGTTAGTGGGAGATAAACTTGTTCTCCATGGCTTTTCACTCCATATTTTTTCTTTTAACATCTGCTTTTTAACTGAGTCCTAGGTTGTCAGTTAGGAGATTGAAGAAAATCTCCTAACTGACAAAAACTAAAGATTAAAATTCACAGCAGGAGAGTAAAAATTGAGTAAAAAGGGTACTGTCACTCAATGGTATACACACACTGCAAGATGGAACAGCACCGTGCTTTTTTTTAACAGTTTACCTGATTGGTTCAATCAAGAATTGTTTTCACACCCAGCTACAGCCTTCAGCATTGGCGCAAACAGAGACAGGTACTTGTAGAATATTACACAAAATAGGTAGAACTGGGTAGTTTTGTGCTTACCTTAATAGCTCTGTGCGCTAGATGGGGCAGCACTGCTGGCTGGACCCTTAGGGACCTCAGCAGAGAGGTAAAGATTATCTATCTAGCCTGGCAGACTGAATTTAGTTGTCATCTTCCTAACATCCTTAGGCAGACAGCTAAGGAGCACACTAATTTGGACTTCATCTGCCACAGTGACTGACCCAGCATCTTTCATGAGCACGCAGTCCACTCACAGGTATTCAGCTTCAAGATGTAATTGACAAGCTTATAATAAATACTCATGCATTAAAGTCTACAGTAGGCCGGGTATGTTATTGATGTTGATGGGATGCCTGGCACCTAGGAGAGGTATTTGGTTTTTATCCTGTTAATCGATCAGTGAGATGAGCTAATATTTTAAAAATAATCAATAGTTCATGTAACAACATTCATGTCAGGTCCACAGTAAAGGATGTCACAGCAAGTGCGTAACAAGAGATACACATGATTCAAGTCAAGCTTTACCAGTGAAGTCGGTGAACATTTTCAATGCACAGTACAGCAAGAGAGCGTAGAGTCCAGAAAAGATTCAAATGGGCAGTGGATTACCTGAAAAATGTACACATTTAGATATGAAGACCCTTACCAACACAAAGCAGGAGCACAAATGGGATGTGACTGACTTCACTGCTCTGAAGAAGATTTGTTTCCAAGCCTGGGGAATGCTGACACAGCTTAATATGAAATAAAAAGAGCCCCCTTTAAGCCTAGCACTACACATTCTTCACCAAAGAGGAGTTATGGTCTCAGTGACATCTCTGACGGCACAGCAGCCTAATTTACCATCCCTCCACAGATCAGCTCGAAGCCCAGCCGTAAAAAAGGCTGCAACATACATCATTTGCTGCAGTTCATTTAAAATCGCATATTCATAGCCTGGTAATTCCGCATTTACTGTTTTTTCAGCCAGGAGCAACATGAGCGACTAAAAAGTAATTTTTCACTTGATCAATTAAGTAAATAGGGGTTTTTTTTGCAATGTTCCTGGGAAGTAGTGTGAAGAATCATTTCTCAGAGCTTTCACCTGCCTCACCGCACTCCGTGAAAGTGTTAAATGTTACTTTATTTGGCAATCAAATATGATCTTTTTCCAATCAGATTAGCATTGCCACTTTCCCCAGAACAAAGCCTCTAGGTGTTGCAGAAGCGTGTGTAGACTCTACAATGGCCTGAACATTGTTTATTGGGTTTATTTATTGCCTTTCAGGCTCTGAACTCTCCCTTTAAGACCAGACAGTGCTAAAACTGCACAGATTGCTCTCCTAGGCAAATGGCTGGAGTTGGTGTGCTCTGGGGCAGAAATGCTTTTGTACCCAGTGTCCACAAGGGTCCCCCATGGCCATTACAGCAAAACCAGAAGGAAACAGAAAGCACAGAAACAGGATAAGCCTTTTTATGGCACTCTTAGGACTGGGATACTCCAGATCGAGGTTGTGTACAATGCCTGCACATAGGCATGGGCTGCTTGAAGGCCTTAGTAGCTGGATTGCATTCAGATATTTATTTAGCTGGAAGTGCTAAGTCTGCACTTCTGCACTAAGTGCAGAAGTCTGCACTGGCCAGGACAACCATTCCAAGTCCTCAGAGGGAATGAAGTGCTCCAGTCAGTGCGTAAAAGACTGACTGCAGTCAGGAGGCTGTGAATGAATAATATTTTTGCAGGAAATTCTCTATTAACCTCTACCTAGAAACTAAGGGACAGGTCTCCATTTACAACAGACTTGGAACAAAGGGATTTAATGGCCTTGCACTGTCAACAAAGGATTGCAGAAAGCCCATCACCCAACAGAAGAGGATGTATTTCTGTAGTGCTAAACATGAGGTGCAGAGGTTAAGTGGTTTGCCCAGCTAAACCTCAGCAGAGACAAATCCAAAGCAACATTCATGATGCTATCACTAACTCACACTATTTACAGCTAAAGCAGCATTTGCATGCTTTGAGGTTAGCAACACACTGAAATTTTGTCTGGTTGAAATTTTGTCTTACCAGTTAATAAATCTATAATTGCAGAATGCTTCAACCACTTAAATTAAATAGATGTGGCTGGTTATTATAACCAATTGTTTTCCTGCATGTCCTATGTCATTCCTGCCTTTGGAGATAACATTTTCTATGCATGACCTTACACTATATTTGTATGCAGACAGACTGCCCAGCATTTACATCTACAAGCCAAAATCAGGACTGCGTGTCACTGAAGCAAATGAGAAATTCCGGCTTCTCACTTTCATTTAGATAAGTTCATAAACATATCATTCTGTTACTTACATCCCCCCAAAAGCCACGGGCATCTTAGAGTGAGGTTGTGCAAACAGAAATACCACTATTATGGAAATGTAGTTCTACAGATAGAAATAGTGAACATTAAAAGCCAGTTTCTGCTCCATGACACTGGCTCTTGGTCCTGTGGGAGAGACCCACATCAGTCTGTTAGACTCAGGAGCTGTGAAGGGAAGCTTAATCCATCCTTATACCCAACATCCTGAAGAATCCTGAAAAGACACAGACTTTGATGGAAAAGCAGTAGCAAAATTAGAAAGCATATTCCAGAAACAAAAGAAGCATTTTTGATGGACCATTTGTGCTTACTCTTACAGGTGCAATGATCCTGTAAAAAGCAAGCTGTGTATAACTGTGAGACATTTAGCCATGAGCTTTGGATTTTTCCAAGCTGTCGAGTCTTTTCCAACCTTCAAAGTAGGTTTTAGTCCCCCAGGTGGTCTTAGCATCTAGGACGAAGTTATACCTGTTCCAGGTTTGTTTTTCTGTATTCTGTTTAGCCTGCAGGAGAGAAATCTTACAGGGATCTTATCAATGTATGTAAATGTCTGATGGGAGGGAGTACAGAAGAGGGAGTGAGGCTCTTCCCAGTGGTACCCACTGACAGGACAAGAGGCTACCTCATAACCTAAAGAACTGGAAAGGTCCATCTAAGCTGCTGAGCCACAAATCCTCCTCCCTCTTCCTCTTTCCCTTTCCCCTCCATCTCTGCTCTGGCTGCTGCAATTGCCCTTGAGGATGTTGCAGCCAATTTTCCTTTCCAGACCCTGTTTGTGTACACATAAAAATACATGGAATATAAGGAATGAATACTCAAGATTCTCTCCATGCCTCACTCACTGTGGATTTTGACATTTAGATTTTTAATTCAGCCTTAATCCTTTTCTAAAATAATAAACAAACAGCTCCCTCACAAATAAGAAAGCACCAAACTTTCTTGCCATAGCAATGTGATCCAGTGATTAGAGCAAAGACACAGTTCACAAACAGCCTAAACAGAATAAAAGGCTAAATTTGCAAGTGTTGATAGTTGCAGCAAGTAATTCATAACAAGTTGAAATGGCATCATTAAGTCTGAGCTGCTCATAAGACTTTCCAAGAAGGACAGATTACTCATACTTCTTTCTGTGCTGGCAACAAGTAGTTGTCTCAGAAATTATCACTGCAGAAAAAGGCCGAGTGTGTGGCAAAGCCAGACCTCCCCCAAATAACACAGATTTCATTGCTGAACTTCACTCTTAGAAAATTTCCCTGCTGTGTACACTAGATGTCAGGGTTGGACTGAAAGGATGAGCCCATCCACTCCACCACACAGCTCTGCGCATCCGGAGGGGTGCTACCAGAACAGCTAGTTCTGCTCAGCAATTGCTCTACCTGATATTTACAAGGAACAGCCTGCACAAACATCCTCTTCCTCCCTGCTTTACAGTATTTTGCTTAGGCCTAAAGCCTCAGGCTTTGGAAGAGGGAAGAGACATCCTGAGATCACAACTACATTACATTTTTGGGAGTCACATGCACTCCCCATGACACCTCACGTAGGTTGTTTCATTCCCCTGTGCCTTGACTATACAGCAGTACCTTCAAAACAGCGAGTTACCTCTGCTTCTCATGGCAAGGGAGGGACTGTGGACCAGGAGTGCAAAGACAAAAATACACAGCCTTTATGAGATGCCAGTGACACAAAACCAATAATCCCAATAAACTGTTGGTCATAATGAAAGGCAAATAAGAAGAGGATCCCCTTTTAATGCCCCAGTGCTGTCCACTTGTCCAGAGAACAGTTAGATGGAACTCTGTTAGGTAAAGTGTTAACCAAAGGTGTCCTAAGGGGAAGGAATGACACAGCCAGAAAACATGTTTGGAAAGACAGTATAATTTTACATTTCTACACAGCCTATTTCTGTAAAACATTTCAGGGAATTCTACAAGCAAAGCACAGTTCTAGGGGAATTCCTAGAGATAAATCACATTTATAAGCAGGCAGCTTTAAAGTGCATTCCTCTTTGCATTTGGCTTAGGCAGTGACCCAGCCCGGCTGCTGAAGTCACAGGTTCTGATGGTGGTTATGGTCAAAATCACAGACATGAAGCACAGGGAAAACACAATAACAAAAAAGGGAATTAAATAAGGTGCCACTGGAGCCCTCAGGCAGCAAAACACTGGGGAAAGGCATCAGGCCTCAAGGGTGAGTGTGCATGGAATTGTAGTGATCCTCTCTAGGGGTACAAGGGACATCCTCAATACTGGGAAAACACCCTGTCCCTTTGCGGCCACAATTTTAATGTGACTGTCACACAACAGTGCTCTATACCCCAGCTGGTGCACTTTTGATGTTGGATATAGTTACAAACCTGTAGTGTGTGTAACAGACTGTGATTCACAGTGAGTGAACTATCTACAACAGAATCAGCAGGGATACTTAAAGAGGGGTCAGCCTAATTCTTACAGGAGAAATTTTGCCTCACAAATCTTTGAGACTTCCTTGGAGCAGCCCAAAATGGCTTGCAGTTTTCCATTTTGACAAGGTCCTGCTCCAAAGGTTGTCATGGATTGAAAGACGATGGGTAAATAACTGGTTAACAATGGGGGAAAGACAAAAGAAGAGAGAGTGAGATGAACTGGTCAGCATTCACAGTAAAGGAGGATTATCCTCTCTGCCATTTACCATGATTATCCCAAAGATGTGATTTGGAAAATGTATTGATGGAAGAAGAAAACATACCAGAAACAGAAATTAAGAATGTAAGGTTAAAAAAAGAAGCAGCAGCAGCAGCACCCTCCAGTGTAATTGTCAAAACCACCAAATCAATGTCGGTAAGTGCAGAACAACACATATTTGGAGAGGCAACCCCAACTCCCCAGCTCCATATGTGCATTTGGACTATAAATTAATTATGATTCATTATAGATAATGCTGCAGAAACTACTACTTAGTGCCCAAGGAAGTGCAAAAAGGGAAAAACAACTTTAAA